GAGGCGGGCCCAGCGCCGTTACCCGGCGACACCCAGGTTCTTCACCCGTCTATTGGCTTCTCCTGCTGTCCGTCAGCTCGCCTTCCGTTCCCATTGGCTGAGGCGCGGCGGGAGCGGGAAGTTCGCTCTCGGGCCGCTCTGAGAGCCGCGGTCGCTGTCCTTCCGCCGCTGCGGGACCCCCCGGGCGGCTCCCGGAGGCCTCGGAACTCCCCCGCGGGGAACCCGGCCCCGCTGCGGGCTCCATGGAGCGGCTGCGGGAGGTGAAGGCCCTGCTGAAGCAGTGGGAGGCGGCGTTCCTCCGGGAGCGGCGGAGAAAACCCACCCAGGTGCCCGGTGGCGGCGGGTTTGAGGCCCACGGGAGAAGGGCCCGTCCCCGGCACCGACCCCCAGCGGTGGGCCCCGACCTTCACCCGGGTGGGGGCCGAGGAAACCTCACGGGTGGCTCCCGGGGAGGGCTGTCCCCTCACCGGGACCCTGTTTACCGGGGTCACTGTGCCAGCTGTCAGCACGGTGTCACCCCCAGCGACGTCCCCGCCTCTCCGTTAACCTGTTTTCCACAACGTTAAAGCCAAGCGAGTGTCCCCCGGCAGAGCCTGGCAATGTTTCTATAAAATATTTCCGTAACGTATATCTAAAGAAATCACAGAACATCCCAAAGTCAACATCAAGCGTGATGCTGCCCCAACTGCAGTTTTCTTTAAAGAAAAACCCCAAGCCAGCAAAAAAAAAATAAGTCCTCTCATTCTACACTAGCAGAAAATACCGATAATTTGGTCTGTAGCCTAAAATAACAGTTTCTACCGTGTTTGCTTTGCAGGCTGACATCGAGGCGGCTCCGGAGGACACCAAACGTAAGTGCCAGCCCAGCCACACCCATACCCTGGGGGTGCTTGAGGGTCCTGGGTGGTGCTGGGCTCCCCCACAGGCAGCTGTGGGTGCTTTGTGGGTGGGGTGACCCCACTGTGCCATGCCAGCCCCTCGTCATCAGGCTGGTTTGATACTGCGGGGGGCCTTTGGTGGCAGATATTGATGGTTGCCGGTGTGGGAACTGCTCTAGTAAGTACCAGATATCCCCAAAATCAGCCTTGATGATCTGTCGCAGGGCTCTACAAGGAGTATAAGACGCTCAAGCAGCAGAGAGAGAAGTCGGATCCCTCCCAGCTCAGCCCCTCCTGCCAACCAGCAGCCCAGGAGACCCCAACTGCAGAGCAGGTACTGGAGAAAACCCTGCTTTGGCCTTGGGTTTTGTCTCCAGGAGCCTCAAACCCCTGAGATTTGCCCTTGATGCGAGCGCTTTCGGGGTGTTTGTGCTTTGTTCTTTACTGTGGGCAAAACCCTGTTCGTCCTGCCTGTTTATAAAGGAGTTTATTTAACTTTAGCAGGGAAAATTAACTAATGAGCACCGTATTTTTGGCTTAAAGAGAGAGTAAGAAACCCCCAAAAGAGCCGTTAAGGTGGGAATTAATACGCCTCCAATCCCTCATGTGCTTTATGCTCAGTGGCATCCAGGCTGCTGAAAGCTCAGGCTTGTTTTAACCAGGCTCTTAACAGCCAGGCCCTGTGCTCGGGGTGACGGTATAAATACCTCGGAATTATGTTTTTTCACCCCAAAATGTGCTGGAAAGACACCGTGGCCAAAAGATGCCACGCTGTGATAACATCACACTTGTTCTCCAGCTTCTTTCTTCTCTCTGAGGTATTGCGGCTCGTCCCCGTGATGGGATTTAACAAATTTTAGGATTGGAAGGTTTCGATTTAACAAGTTTGGGGATTTAACAGTTCGAATTTAACAGTTTGCGGTGTCGTTGCAGGCGCCGGACTCCGGTTGTTGGGGAGCACACCTGAACCGGCAGCCCAAAACCCCCGAGCTGTGTCGCCGCAGCCGCGCCGTGCCGAAAACCTCGGCTCAGTACTACGGGATGAAGCTGAAATCCAACCTGGGAGCTGCCGGGAAGGTCAGGGCTGGCCAGGGACCGGCGCTGAGCTCTGTGGCGTGGAGAGAAGCTTCTCCTAAAGCTGCTTGTGACCTATTTTTTTTTCCTGCTCTGGCCGCTCCAAAATAGCGGCCCCTGCACCAGAGCCCCCAAAATGGCAGCTCGCGTGCCGGAGACCCTTAAAATGGTGGCTCTCTCCTGACAGGGCCCCCCAAAACGGTGGCCCCCATGTCAGAGCCCCATCTAAAATGTCAGACCTCTCCTGCCAGAGTCCCCCTGCTGTTAGCAGAGGGTGGAAACTTATGGTGGGGAGCACCCACAAACACTGGTGAAGGTCCTGTTTGATTTGGAGGTGGGGTGTAGAGTTTTGGTGGATGATCTGACTCCTGACACCTCCAAAATCTGTCCTCTCCTTGTCCGCAGGAGACGCCCCTAACCCCGAGGAGGACCCCAATTCCTAAGAGGACCTTGGCTGTCCCTGAACTTCACACAAATTCGGGGACAGGTGACAAAGCCGCGTCCCCAGCACCGGCAGAGTCTTCGCAGAGTGAGAGAGACGAGCCGGAAGATTTCCTCCTTCCTCCCTCGGTGTCAGGGCTGGCCCCCATCATCCTCACCGCGGGGTTGAAGTCCCCCCCACCACCACCACCAGATAAATTCCAGCAGCTGAAGCGAACGGTGGCACAGAGACTGGGCTCACTGGATCCCGCCTGGCTGCAGAGGTGCCAGGAGATACCCGAGGATAAAGGGACGATGCTGGGTGCCACGCAGGCTGGGGAGGAGGGAAGGGACAGCTGGCCCCCCCCAGAGCAGGATGGACGTGGTGGGGGAGCATTGGTGGGAGATTCCAGGAGGAAAAGGCCACAGGGAGACAATGGAGAAAACGCGGCAGCTCCGGCGAAGCTCAAACGGTGCCGCCGAAGCTCGGCCGAGGGAGTGTTCAGCGCTGCCAGCAGGCTGAAACAGAGCGATGAGGAGGAGGAGAAGAAGGAGGAAGAGCACGTGGCAGCCCAAAAGGAGAGCGGGAAGGTGTTGGATCCTTCAGAAAACATCCTGGGGGAGTTGGAGGAGGAGGAGGAAGAAGAGGAAAAGCCCAGACACACGCGCAAAGCCAGCGCTGCCAGGTAGGTCCTTGGCGACTTCCCCGGTGCTGCCACAGGCTCACCTGCCTCAGTGGAGCTCACACCTCGCTTCAAACTCCCCGTGGGGGTGTTGCTGGAGCAAACGAGCCTTGTGGAAACAAACCCGCTAATTAAACTCAATCAAACACGGGCTGCAGCGATGCCACCCGTCACTCGAAAGCACCAAAAAGCTGTTGGAAAAGGAGCTGAGGGGGCTTTTTCCTATCCATTGCTATAAGTAATGAGCTGCTTTTTCCCAAATTCCTCCTTTTTTGCCTGAAGTCAGGAATTCTGGGGGGAAGAAATAAGTTGGGGGTGGGTTTTCAGTCTGATTTTCTGATGGAAATATACCCCACGTGCCTTTGGCCTCCCCCCCCGAGCGTCTACATCGCCTTCAATTGCATTTAAAGGACAAAAGATTTAAGAGCTTATTTCCCTCAAAGTCATTTTGCAGGCAGGGCACCGGGGCTCTGCCCGCTCCTGCCGGCGCTGGGTGCAGGCAGGAGCTGGCAGGAGGTGTGGATGGAGTCCTAATCCACCCCTCTCCCCACAGAGCACCTCCACGGGGAGGCGAGAACTTCGTCAGGCTTAACCTGAAGAAAAAGTCTCACGTCCGAGGTTACGCCCTGCGGGGAAATCGCCTTCGCAAGCAGGTAACGTCCTGCCCGGCACATCACCGACATCCTCCCGCTCTCCCTGCCAAATCCCCATGAAATGTGAATTCATCCAGACCAGGTTGGATTTAAAACTCTCCCACCTCTCGCTGCGCTTCGCCTCCTTCTCTGAATTTCCATAGTTTGCCTTTTAGTTAATTTATTTTTGTGACCATGTGGGAGAGCGGCGCAGGCACGACTCTGCTCCCTGCCCCTCCCACTCCTGCCTGACTTTCCTGCCTTCAGTGGCAGCTTTGCCCAGAAGATGCTGTGCGAGGGGAAAGACCTCGCCGTAGCGGGCTTGTCCTGCTGGGTAAAGAGGCTCCTCAGCCTTTCCAGCTTCTGCCACAAAACCCTAGGATTTTTTTTTAATTACTATCTCCCCATTAATTAACTTGAAACCCTTTTGGATTGTCTCGGGGAGGTGGAGCATCAGCTAGAAGAAAATTACCTTTATTTTTAAAGCTTGGCGTGTTCATGCGACGCTTTGGCAAAAGCCCGGCGTGCGGGACGAAGTAAAACATCATAAAACACCTTTTTATTTTTAATAAAAATATAAAAATAACTGGAGACGCTCCCGTTTCGCAGCTGTGGAAGCAGAAGTGGCAGAAGAAAGCGGAGCAATTCGGGGGAGGCGGCAGATCCGCCGCCCGACGCTCAGATGTCTGCTTCAAATGTGGCGGGACGGGGCACTGGGCATCGGCGTGCCGGGGTCGAGGTAAGGCTTGGAACATGCTGGGTTAAAGGGGGGAGTTTAGCAAAGCCGTGAGTTGGGTTTAGATGTGGCCGTGCCGGAGGATGGGAAGGATCAGTTGGGTTTTCCCACCTCCCTGCGGCTTCCCTGCCCTTGAGGATTTTGAGGGATTATAATTTGTGGAAGAAGGTCAAAAGATGAGGTGGTTTCTTTACTGCGGGTTTAAGTAGAGACGGCTGCTGGCCCGCTGCCGGAGGAGAACGGCCACGCCGATGAAGAGGAGGAGGCTCCCCTGCCTACGCTGGAAGAAGTGGCTCGTAGGACCAACACCGGCTGCAGAGAGCTCTCCGGTGAGGCCGCGGGGTTTGCCGGGCCTTGCCTCACTCTCCACTGACACACTGTGGCTGGCTCTGGGATGAACTCGTTTATTTTTCCTCCATACCCCGGGGAAATTCGGTTGCGTTCCCAGGAGGGTTTGCTTAGGCTCAGAAAGTGGATTTTTGGCAGGTTGGGTTTATGCCGGGATGTGTCTTTGCTGAGAACGCTGGTCTAAAATACCAGCAGGCTCCCTGCGTGGTGGGGGGTGTCCAGGCAGGGTGGGAAAAGCCACCTGCGGGTCCCGACTCCTGCCTTCATACTCGGCAGAGAGCGGAGGCAGCGACCGGGAAAAATCTGAGAAGATTTTGGAGGCCTCGACTCAGCTGGATGTGTGGAGGCCGATGGACGAGCCGCCCACTCCCCCCGCGCCCGTCGAGCCCCTCTACAGCCGTGGGCCAGAGGGGAAAGTGCAAGGTAGGGGCTCCCCAGGGCGCTCTGAGAGGGCCTACGGGTGGATTTGACCCCTCTGACTCCTCATCCTGACCCTTCCTCCTGCAGAGACCCCTCAGGAGGTGTTTGAGGCTCTGAAGGCGCTGGGCTACAGCTCCTTCCGCCCGGGCCAGGAGGTGGCCATCATGAGGATCCTTTCAGGTGAGGGTTTATTTCTTTTTTTTTCTTTCTTTTTTTTTTTTTTTT